GGTCACATACAAATTTAGAATTGTTAGTCCTTCCTGTTGCTTTGAATCATTTTATAATTATTATGTCCCTCTATTTCTAATAATTTCTTGCATTTAAATTGTTTTTGTGCTTTGTTGTCAACAATTTGAATCCTGTACGATTTAAAATTTCTTGCATTTATTTAATAGTCACCTTACCCTTTCTGATGCCCTTTATTCCTTTCTTTATTATGCTGCTTTCTTCTCAGATCATTTTGCTTCTTTCTGAAGACCTTTCATTATTATTTCTTTTTTTCTTCATTATTATTTCTTTTAGTGCTTTTTGCTGGTGAAACATTCTCTGTTTTTGCTTGTTTGACTATATCTTTATTTTGCTTTCATTAAAATATTGAAACAATTGCAAATGTACAGAAAAGTTGAAAATAATATAAATAATTTTTTACTGTACTATTTGAGAGTTAGTTAATACCTGGTGTCCAGTTATCTATCAATCAGGAAAGTCACATAGTACATTTCTACCCCTCAAAAACTATACAAGCTTCACCACTTATCCCGGTAATGCTCTATGTAACAAAATAGTCCACTTTAGAATATGTTGCATTTATATATCTTGAGTCTCCTTTAATCTAGATCAGTTTCTTTTCTTTCTTGACTTTTATCTGACCTTGATTTTTTCTGAGAAAACAGGACACTTTTTTTAAAAATAGGACACTTGAAAATTTTGTAGATTGTCTCCTTGGTTTGGGTTTATCTGATATTTTCTCATGAATTTCAGGTTCTACATTTTTTGTGTATCATAGAGGGGAATGCTGTATTCTTCTCATTGCATTCCTTGATTGGCACTTGATTTTGATTTGTCTTTTTATTGGTGAAGTTAACTTTAATCACTTGATTAAGGTGATTGCTATCAATTTCCAGTCAGCTTTCAGTGTATTTAGTAGCCAGAGAGACTCCCTGCATCCTGGATTGGATGCCTCCTTTGCCCAGGCAAAAGCCCATCTAGTGGCTTAGAATGAATTATATGGGGAGGAAAGGGAAGAGGAGAGACTGCTTTTAGTATTTATTATGGTTTGGATCTAGAGTGTCTTCCAAAGGCTCATGTGTGAATGGTTGGTCCCCAGTGCAGCATTGTTCAGAAGTGGGACTCTTAGGAAGTGATTGGATCATGAGCTCTAACCTTATCAATGGATTAATCTATGGATGGATTCATAGTTGAAGGGACTATTATGAGGTGATGGAAACTGTAAGAGGTAAAACCTAGTTGAAGGGAATGAATCCTTGGGGACTGTATCTTGTTCCTAGTTTCTTCCTTCCCCATCCCTTCCTCTCCCTCCCTGTCTGCTTCCTGGCCACCATAAGGTGAGCAACTCTTTTCCACCACACCCTCTCTACTGCGATACTGTGCCTTCCCACAGGCCTAGAGCAGTGGAACCAGCCAACCATAGACTGAAACTTCTGGAACCAAAAAGTCATTCCTTCTCTTAGTTGAATTTCTCATGTATTTTGTCATAGCAGTCACTGACTAACACAGTATTGCAGGATATTTTCACTAGATTTAGAGTTCCATGTTGGCAATTGTTTTCTTTCAGTACCTTAAAGATATTTTTTCCATTGTCTTCTTTCCTGTATCATTTCTTAATCTATTTCATCTCTTTCAGATTTTTACTTCTCGAGACTTATTTGTCTTGATAGCTCTCAGATGCTTATCAACAATCATTTATCTACCCCTTTCTAATGGTTGTTCTTGGTGGTAGGGTTAACTCTATCTTGACCTTCCTAATAAATATATTTATAAAAATACTTGTTTAGGTATTTCCTTTAAGCTAAAATATGAGACTATTAAATAAAAAGACCCATTTCTAAATTATAATATAAATACACTAGTCTCCTTGGAAATGATAGGTGTCCTCTGTTTCTAGGAATGTGTTTCCTTCCTACAGACATTCACTTCTTTCAGGTCTTTAGTCAAGGGACACCTTCCTAGTCCTCCCCTGGCCATCCTTTGTATATTTGTAGTTAACCTTCTTCCTTGTTTTGTTTTTCTCTTTAACACACATTAGTTCTATTTCTATATTTTATTAGAATTTTACTTCATGAGAACTATTTATAGAAAGGGATATGTATATTTTATTTTATATACATACAAATAAAATTTGACATTAAAGTGAATTATAAAAGTACTAAAGTAAAATAAAACAAATGAGCAGAATTCGATTATTGTATAAAAACTTATACAACTGATTTTCTGGATGTTCATCTCCCAAACTGGATCGATCCCCTTTCTCCATCTTGCATTTCTTGTCTGATGCATCAGCAAATCCTATCATCTTACCTTCAAAATACATTACTACATCTTCCTTGGGATTTTTGCAATAGCTTCCTTATTTCCCCTGCACTACCCACAGTCTGTTATCAACACAGCCACCAGAACAACTCTGTTTAGAATGTAACTAAGATTGCATTAATAATTTTTATTCAGAATCTTACAGTAGCTTTCCAATTCATTCAGAATAAAAGTCCATACCCTTATAAATTCTTAAGGGATTAAGGGAATCTAAATGGAATTTTTTCCCCCACCCCATTAACTCTTTGACCTTATCTCCTATGACTCTCCTGCCAGCTCCCAGGTTCAGACACACTAGTCTCCTTGGAAATGATAGGTGTCCTCTGTTTCTAGGAATGTGTTTCCTTCCTACAGACATTCACTTCTTTCAGGTCTTTAGTCAAGGGACACCTTCCTAGTCCTCCCCTGGCCATCCTTTGTATATTTGTAGTTAACCTTCTTCCTTGTTTTGTTTTTCTCTTTAACACACATTACTATCATTCATTTAAATGTACACAAACACATATATATACATGTGTGTATATATTTTACTATATCATATATGCACACATTCTGTTATTTCACTGAAATGTAATCTTAACTAAGGCAAGAATTATTATTATTTTTAAAAATCTATCTATTGTGTCCCAGGCTTCTTTACTTGAGAACAAAATAATGAGTGATATGGAATTAAAATCAAAACACCATTAAACTTTACTTTCCCTCCAGCCAGTTCCCCCAAATGCCCTGTCCCCATCTTAGTGTTTTTTTTTCTTTTTTTAGATTTTTTGTGTAGATGTACAGCATGCCTTTATTTTATTATTTTGTTTATTTATGCAGTGCTAAGGATTGAGCCCAGTGCCTCATACATGTTAGGCAAGTGCTCTGCCACTAAGCTATAGCCCCGGCCCTCCAATCCCTTTCTTTTTGATTAAAGAACTTAATCCTACGGATTCTGGGTTGTCTTTCCCCGTCTTCTCTCCTTTCTTCTACCCAGATTCCTGGGAAGGGCAGGTGCCTCAGTTTTAAAGTACACACATTTTAAAAAGTAAAATTGCAATAAAAGGCTCATGTTGAAAATCAGGAGTACCTTGCCATGTTATTCCCTACTCCAAAGGGTACCTCTTCAGAGATAGTCTATAATTTCTTAATTAATCCACTTTTGATATTGTTAGTATCCTCTTATAGTACTTGCAGGGATTTAGCTCTCTTTTTATATCCCTTCTCTTCATTTCTCCTTCCAGCCAGACTCCCAAGTATAGTTATATCATAGACTCTAAATTGCTATTCACTGTTCACATCATGCCATAGTAATGTCACTGATTACACTAATTAGTTCACTAATCACATAATGTATTATGATTGCAGTTTTTTCCCTAATCTTCATTTTTCTTGGACTTAGCACTAACCTTTCCCCTTTTATCTTTTTCTCTGTACATATTTATTTTTTCCTAAACATCCAGTCTTATCATACAAATACCTAGCAGTAAATTATAACTAAGTACAAATGTAGGAGAATCATATCTTTTTGCCTTCCTTTCTTTCTTTTCTGGTGACTGACTTCTTCCTGTTTCTCTTCACTCCAGTCTTAACTGCTCTGTAGGTCTGGTATAGAATTGCAAGTTTGGAACTACCTAATGCTACTTTCCTATATTGGATCTCCTGTCTTCTTATCTTTTAGTTTATTCCTTCTTTTGCAAAAGCATACTTTCTAGCACCTTCCTAAGAAAAGGATGTGGCTGCAGATATAGCTCAGTAGTAGAGCACTTGCCTAGCTTGTGGCAAGGTCCTGGTTCAGTCTCCAACATCACACACACACACACACACACACAGAGAGAGAGAAGAAAGGCATGAATTCCTCTTTTGTTTTCTTTATTCTTTCTTTCTGCAGCTCTTATTACACAATTGTTGGCCCTTCTCAATTGCTTTTCTAATTTTTCCCTATCTTCATATTTTTGTACTGGGAAATTTTCTTAACTCTTCTATTGTTCCTAAATTTCAGTTATAAAAATATATTTTTAGGTGTTATTTGTACTTTTCTATTATTCCTTTTTCATAGTATTTTTTGAGGATGTATTTTCTCATTTCCCTGAGGAAATTAATTATAGTAATTTTTTAGTTTTCTTCTGGTTTTTTTGTTATGTTTCCTTCTAGATCATTGCTTTTTTTGTTGCTGCTGTTTTTGCTTTTTCTTAGAACCTTCTGGTTTTCTACTAGCTGCTTTTCTCATTAAAGACTGGTGATCTTCTGGGTCTTTTTGTATTCAAGAGTGGGGCACTAAGAAGCTGAGTATTAGCTCTGTGTGTTTGAACATGGCTTTTTAGCTGGTGACTTTAATACTAGGGTGATTATGTAGTGAGCTTGCCTTTTAATTGGGTCACCCCCACAGATGAATAAGTAGTGGTCTCTCTCTCTCTCTCTCTCTCTCTCTCTCTATATATATATATATATATATATGTGTGTGTGTGTGTGTGTGTGTGTATTGCATTCTCAGAGAGAAGCTCTGCCATCTCCTGTTTATGGAATTTGTTACCTCTTGGATCTCCAGGAACAGAAAGTGAAGGATGCTTAGGGCCCTGCAGTTTAGTTTTTTAGACTGATGCTTATTCTTTACCTTCTGGAGTCATCACTGGGCCTGGTGTACTAAAGCCTATATCTTTTTTCAGTTTTCCCAAAGAATAAATCTTTATTTTCCTAGATGATGGATGGCTCAAGGGGAATAAAGAAGAATATTGATTACAAGGTAGGACCTGGAAAGTTTTTAATTACTTTCCTTGTTTTCATCTATATATTCATCTTTGCTATCCATGATGTCTTTCACCTTTTTTGTGTTGTTCCTCTTCAAGTTCTGTGAGATGAACTTGTTTACTTTCCATAGATAACCTAACACAACTCCTTCCCCACTCACAAACTTAGATTATAGTTCCTATGCTCTGTGGTCTTGTAAATGATGTAGGTAGTTTTTAATCTCATATCCCCTTCTCTTTTTAAAGCCTGTATCAAATAAGATATTCTTTTTCCGTGATAAGCATATTATCTAAAAGTGCTGATGTTTGGGACCAGAAAGTTGCAAATAAAAATGTATTAGGAAATTACTCATTTATTTCTAGAATAGATGTCAGCGCAGGAAAAAAAAGTACATATATTTTCTAGCTACAGAAAAAAATTTATATTATAGCCATTAAATCCTAGGGATCTTAAGAGACTTTTGATCTAAAGCTAATATTTTTTGAGTCCTCACCTTAAGTCAAGTACTGTTCTAAGTACATTATACACACACTTATATACATTAACTCAGTCTATACAAACCATCTGTGGTATGTACTGTTACATCCATTTTACAGATAAACAATTTTACATTTCAAAAGGTTTAGTATTACAAAGATCACAACCAATACATGGTAGTGCTCAGATTCAGACCTCAAGCAGTAACTCATATGTTTTATAGTCTCTTAAATATACATTAATCCATAATACAGACAGTTTACTAATCTTTATTGCAGTTTAGTCATGAACTAAGGATGTTATTTGAAAGTCATTTCAAATTTTTAGACAGACCCTTTTGTTAAAAAAAAAAAAAATCTTTCTTATACTGGGTTGGAATTAGCCTCTATGTGACTTTTACTAGGTAGTCTCATAGAGAAAGAGAGTAAATTTGCCTCCTCTTGTAGGATAAACATTCTCATTTGCTCCAGTGAAACATGATTTTCCATGCCCACCATCACTTATTTTGGTAAATGTCTTTTTTTTTTAGAGAGAGAGAATTTTTTAATATTTATATTTCAGTTTTCGATGGACACAACATCTTTATTTTATTTATATGTGGTGCTGAGGATGGAACCCAGCGCCCCGTGCATGCCAGGCGAGCACGTTACTGCTTGAGCCACATCCCCAGCCCAAATGTCTTTTTTTTAATGTAAATTTTTAAAATTTTATTTATCTTTTTAAATATTTTTTTTAGTTGGATACAATATCTGTATTTATTTTTATGTGTGCTGAGGATCGAACCCAGGGCCTTGCATGTGCTAGGGGAGCACTCTACCGCTGAGCCAAAACCCCAGCCCAAATTTTTTAAAATTTATATATGACAGCTGAATGCATTATAATTCTTATTACATATATAGAGTACAATTTTTCATATCTCTGGTTGTATAGATAGTATATTCACACCAATTTGTGTCTTCATACATGTATTTTGGATAACAATGATCATCACATTCCACCATCATTTATAACCCTATGTCCCCTCCCTTCCCCTTCAATCCCTTTACCCTAACTAGAGTTCGTATATAGAGTTCATCTATTCCTCCCATGCTCCCTATTTCTATCCCACTATGAATCAGTTTCCTTATATCAAAGAAAACATTCAGCATTTGGTTTTTTGAGATTGGTAACTTCACTTAGCATTATCTTCTCTAACTCCATCCATTTACCTGCAAATGCCATGATTTTATTTCTCTTTTATTGCTGAGTCATATTCCATTGTGCATATATGCCACATTTTTTAATCCATTCATCTATTGAAGGGCATCTAGGTTGGGTTGGTTCCACAGTTTAGCTATTGTGAATTGTGATGTTATAAACATTGATGTGACTGTGTCCCTGTAGTATGCTATTTTTAAAGTCCTTTAGGAATAGACCAAGGAGAGGGATAGCTGGGTCAAATGGGTGGTTCCATTTCCAATTTTCCAAGAAATCTCTGTTCTGCTTTCCATATTGGCTGCACTAATTTGCTGTCCCACCAACAGTGTATGAGTGTATCTTTTTCCCCACATCCTCACCAACACTTATTGTTGTTTGTATGCATAATAGCTGCCATTCTGACTGGAGTGAGATGAAATTTTCAAGTGGTTTTGATTTGCTTTTCTCTAATTGCTAATGATGATGAACCTTTTTTCATATATTTGTTAATTGATTGTACATCATCTTCTGAGAGGTGTCTTCTCAGGTCTTTGGCCCATTTATTGATTGGGGTTTTTTTGTTTTTGTTTTTTTTCTTTTTGGTGTGTAGCTTTTTGAGTTCTGTATATACCCTAGTGATTAGTGCTCTTTCTGATGTGTGAGGGGACAAGATCTGCTCCCAAGATGTAGGCTCTCTATTCACCTCACAGATTGTTTCTTTTACTGAGAAGAAGCTTTTTAGTTTGAGTCCATCCCATTTATTGATTCTTGATTTTAATTATTGCACCAAAGGAGTTGTATTAAGGAAGTTGGGGCCTAATTCCACATGATGGAGATTAAGGCCTACTTTTTCTTCTATTAGACGCAGGGTCTCTGGTTGTATTCTTAAGTCCTTGATCCATATTGAGTTGAGTTTGTGCATAGTCAGAGATAAAGGTTTAATTTCATTTTGTTGCATATGGATTTCCAGTTTTCCCAGCACCATTTGTTGAAGAGGCTATCTTTTCACCAATGCATATTCTTGGCACCTTTGTCTAATATAAGATAATTGTAATTTTGTGGGTTAGTTCTGTGTCCTCTATTCTGTACCAATGGGCTATCACTCTGTTTTGGTGCCAATACCATGCTGTTTTTGTTACGCTTGCTCTGTAGTTAAGGTCTGGTATAGTGATGCCACCTGCTTCATTCTTCCTGTTAAGGATTGCTTTAGCTATTCTGGGTCTCTAATTTTTCCAGACGAATTTCATAATTGCTTTTTCTATTTCTATGAGGAATGTCATTGGGATTTTGATTGGAATTACATTAAATCTGTATATTGCTTTTGGAAGTATGGTCATTTTGATAATATTAATTCTGCCTATCTAAGAGCAAGGTAGATCTTTCCATATTCTTCTTTTTTGTTTTTAAAGAGAGAGGTGGGGGAGGAGGGAGGGAGGGAGGGGAAGGGAATGAGAATGAATCTTTTTTTTTGTAGATGGACACAATACAATGCCTTTATTTTTATGTGGTGCTGAGAATCGAACCCGGGTCCCGCCCGTGCTAGGTGAGCACTCTACCGCTGAGCCACAACCTCAGCCCAATCTTTCCATCTTCTAAGGTCTTCCTTGATTTCTTTCTTTAGTGTTCTGTAATGTTCATTATATAGATCTTTCACCTGTTTTGTTAAGTTCATTCCCAAGTATTTAATTTATTTATTTATTTTGAGGCTATTGAGAATGGGATAGTTTTCCTCATTTCCCTTTCTGATGATTTGTCACTGATATACAGAAATGCCTTTGATTGATTGGTGTTGATTTTATATCCTGCTACCTTGCTGAATTCATTTACTAGTTCTAGAAGTTTTCTGGTGGAACTTTTAGGGTCTTGTAGGTATAGAATCATATCTTCAGCAAATAGTGCCAATTTGAGTTCTTCTTTTCCTGTGTGTATCCCTTTAATTTCTTTCATCTATCTGATTGCTCTGGCTAGTGTTTCAGGAACTATGTTAAATAGAAGTGGTGAAAGGGGGCATCCCTGTCTTGTTCCAGTTTTTAGAGGGAATGCCTTCAATTTTTCTCCATTTAGAATGATATTGGCCTGGGACTTAGCATAGATAGCCTTTATGGTATTGAGACATATTCCTATTATCCCAAGTTTTTCTAGTGTTTTAAACATAAAGGGGTGCTGTATTTTGTCAAATGTCATATGATTCTTATCTTTAAGTCTATTGATGTGATGAATTACATTTATTGATTTCCGTATCTTGAACCAACTTTACATCCCTGGGATGAATCCCACTTGATCATGATGCATGATCTTTTTGATATGTTTTTGTATGCAATTTTCCAGAATTTTATTGAGAGTTTTTGCATCTCTGTTCATTAGAGATATTGGTCTGAAGTTTTCTTTTTCTTTTTTTTATGTATTTTTGCCTGGTTTTGGAATCAGGGTGATATTGGCCTCATAGAATGAGTTTGGAAGTGCTGCCTCCTCTTCTATTTCCTGAAATAAATTGGAGAGTATTGGTATTTGTTCTTCTTTAAAGGTCTTGTAGAACTCCACTGTGTATCTATCTGGAGCTGGACTTTTGTTAGTAGACTTTTGATGGCATCTGCTATTTCATCACTTGAAATTGATCTGTTTAAATTGTGTATATCATTCTGATTCAATTTGGACAAATTATATGACTCTAGAAATTTGTTGATGCCTTTGATATTTTCTATTTTTATTGGAGTATAGGTTTTCAAAATAATTTCTAATTATCTTCTGTATTTCTGTAGTGTCGGTTGTGATATTTCTTTTTTCATCACGTATGTTAGTGATTTGAGTTTTCTCTTTCCTTCTCTTTGTTAATGTGGCTAAGGGTCTGTCAATTTTATTTATTTTTTTCAAAGAACCAACTTTTTGTTCTGTCAATATTTTCAATTGTTTCTTTTGTTTCCATTTCATTGATTTCAGCTCTGATTTTAATTATTTCCTGTCTTCTGCTGTTTTTGGTATTGATTTGTTCTTATTTTTCTAGGGCTTCGAGATGTAGTGTTAAGTCATTTATTTGTTGACTTTTTCTTCTTTTAAGGAATGAACTCCATGCAATAAACTTTCCTCTTAGAACTGCTTTCATAGTGTCCCAGAGATTTTGATATGTTGTATCTGTGTTCTCATTCACCTCTAAAAACTTTTTAATCTCCTCCTTGATGTCTTCTGTAACCCATTGTCCATTCAGTAGCATATTATTTAGTCTCCAGGTGTTGGAGTGGATTTTATTTTTTATTTTATCATTGATTCTAATTTCATTCCATTATGATCTGATAGAATGCAGGGTAGTATCTCTACTTTTTTATATTTTCTAAGAGTTGCTTTGTG